TATATTATACATTTTATATATTAAAAAACCCATTAAAAATTTAGAAACACTCTACATACATTTTAAGATGGAGCATGCTCGAACTTGTGCCTCCTCCACAATGGGCAAAGTTACAAACCAGTTGATCCACCGGACCTGTTCTGTAAAAGTACTACACAACATTATATTTATTCATTTGGAATGACCGGCGGTTTGAACGGTTGAACCGGTTGAACCGGTTAAACCGAGAACCGAAGGTCAAAACGGTTTGACCTCCGGTTCGGTTTTTAAAACTTTGCACGCAGCACACCTCATAGCCCTCACTCACTTTCAGACAATCAAACTCTCACAGTCTCACCTCACCTTCGACCTTCCACTCCTCTTCTTGCTTCTGCAGTTTTTCCTCACTCACTCTCACAGCCTCACCTTTGATTTTCCCCTTCCCTTTTGGCTTCTGCTGCTACAAATCTGTTGCTGCTGCTATAGATCTGCTGCTGCTATAGATCTGTTGCTACAGATTTGCTGCTGTTGCTACAGATTTGCTGCTATAGATATGCTATTGAAACTGCTGTCGATCTGTTGCTGGAGCCTGGAGTTGCTGTCAATCTGCTGCTAAAGCCTAGAGTTGTTGTCGAAGATACAGTATCCCATCATCCTTACTCACTATATGTTTGATGCATGCCTCATTAATTTTTACTTATGTTTGATGTAAAAAATATGTATTTTGATATTAATTGGCGGGAAATGGGGATCCCCGTCGGGAATGGGGATGGGGGGCAAAATTTGCCCCCTGTAAAATGGCGGGGACGAGAATGGGGAAGGACTCCTTGACCCCGCGGGGTCCCGTTGACTTGGGCGCCAACCATTTATCTAAAATTTCTAAATAAAATACTAACGATTTAAATAATTTAGTGGTTATTTTTTTTTACTAAAAGTAAAAGATTTTGAGTTTAAATTGCATGGCATGCGAGTAAAATGAGATAAGGGATGAGAGATAGTTTCTTTCCATTGTATAACCAAGGTAAAAAAAAAATTCTAAATAAAATGAAGAAAATAAAATAGGAAAATGGAAAATTACAACATCCTGACATTTTTAATATCAAAATGTTTAATAATAATCATATGATAAAATTGATAAAATTAAATACCACATTATATCCCACACATTTAAATGTGATTGTAATTAATATCCTAATACTTTTAATTTTTAATGTTACGAATGTCTTAAATTTTTTTCTTCGTAACAAAAAAAGCCTTAGGTCCAGTCAAGCCCAAACATAAGCCACATTGAATAATGGCTAAGGCCCAAGCCCGCTCATCTTTTGATGTTTGTACTTTGTACAGGTTTCTCTGATTGTTGGTATTTCCCTTCTTAAGCACTAATCTCTTCTTTCTTTTTTTAAATTTTTTTAAATAATATAATAATAAATAATTTTTTATCATTTGTTAATTTATTATATTACATTTCATATAAGTCAAATTTAAAATTTTTACTTTAGTTAAAAAGAAATTAATATTATACTACGTAAGTGGTTAAAAACATTAATTTTTTAAAACCCGTTATGTTACAAATATACGCAAGTTAGAAATATTTATCTCCAACTGGTGATAAGTTGTGAGGAAATTAGAAAAGGGGGAGTTATTTTTGATGATGTTACTCATCTCTCTCCGTTTCACAGTAGTCATTTTTTTCTTTTTTTTCTTTTTTTCTCATGGATTAAAAATTTTAATATAATTTATATTTTAACTATATTACCCAAGATTCCCGTTATAATTCATAACCAAATTTAAGAGATAATAAGAAGTTATACTGAGAGAAAAATATTTATTCAATTCTAAAATTAAAAAAAAAAAGGGACTGTTATCACAAGATAATAAGAGTATAAATAAAACATGAATCCAATGATTCCAATCTCATTAAATGTTTGGGTCATTATGAATAACATATTTACTTAATTTTTAAAAAATAAAATTTTGAGTTTAAATTTTAATAATAAAAAAATAAATAATGAGAGAATTTTTTTATGAAATTTGATATAATTTAATTTTTAATTAGGTAAAATTTAATATAATTATTAAATATAAAAAATTAATATATATATATATATATATATATATATAGGTCATTTGTAGGCCGACAGGAAGGCAGGGCAAACTCCGCTTTGGAATTTTATCCTTGACGGGTTGTTGCCTTTCAATCTTTGAGCTGGTCAAAATTGGCGGTGGTGGCTCAGCCACACCTGCACCGACCGACCAAATTTGGTTTGGTCCGGTGACCAGTCCACAACACATGATCAGCACTCAGCAGTACCACCATGGGAATTAAAGTGGATCAGGATCTGATCTTAGACCGTCTCTCCACCCCAAATTCAAGATTCTTATCCCCCAAAAGCTATTGTTTCTCCCTTCTCTCTAGTCAAATTCCCTCCCACCTCCAATTAATTTCCTGCCAAATGTATTTGGACCCACAACCAAAGCCAAGCACAATGCTTTGCCACCATAAAACGACATCTCATTTGTGACCCTCCCCAATAGGCAATAAATTAATGAAAATCAGAGCTTTCTCACATTCTTGCACAAAAGTCTGCATCATCCACAGTTCTGGCATTGTTTCCTCAACCTTGAGGTAAGTGAAGAGAAATTAAAGAAATGGGAGAATATTTTTTATTATATAATTTATTATTATTTTATATATTAAAAAATTAATATTAATATTATAATTATAGTATTATATAAAATTATAAATTTATAATCGTAATATAATATTAAATGAGTATATATGATATTAAATAAATAGTTATATATAATATTAAAGATAATTTTTAAAAATAAAAAAAAATAAATTATATAATAATATATAATGTTTTAAATTTACAATATCATATAATATTATAATTATAATATTTTAAAGAAAGATAATAGTCAATTTTTTAAAATAAATTGTTTCAATATGAATCTTAAATTTATTTTTTTTAAAAATTCTTTTAAAAGAGAATGAATAAAATAATTAACAACATGATTTTTTTTTTTTAAAGAATCTACCTTTAGTAGGTACCAAAAAATGATGTTTTTAATTTAATATACTTCTGGAGTGATGTTTGGAAATTGATTTCGATGCAAACAAATCTTAAAATTAAAAAAAAAAATGATTGTCCCAATTTAAAAAAAATGCATTGTTTTCTTTTAGTGTCACATATTTTGAGATGATATGTAATCTATGACACTGCATAATTTGCAAAGAATTACGGTCCCCCACCCCTTTATCAAATTCAGCAACTCAATTAATTAGTTCTATTTCTAGAACCAACAACAAATCAAACTCAATCTCTCCGTGGCATGTTCTTGCATGATTCACCCCACCCCTCCCATTGTCTCCTTCAATGATACAACTCATGAAGGAAATAAACAATTACTTACAACGAAAAAATAACAATAATTGTTGAAAGAAATCCACATAACGTACGAGAACATGGCTAAGTAATTTGATATTCTTTGATCAATCCATGTGATCTCCAATAATAGCACTAAGTAGGGGAAGTGTAGTTCAATAATTGATGATGGTGTGCACATAAGAAAGAAGGGCACATGAGATTTGCAGCTTTTGTTAAGACGCGTTAAGACACTATTTATTTTAGTGACGACTCTAATCCCAATAAGGTTTTTTTTTTCTTTGTTAATAAACTTATGAATTGGGTGAAGTCCCCTTCTCTTCATTTTTGAGTGTTCTTGAGTGGTAATACTAATAAACAAATGAGTTTTGGCTTTTGTTGGTAGAGATTCACTTTTGTCGATAAACATTCCAATTCCATCGCCAGATGATTCAAATTAAAGTGGGGATTGTCAATTATTGGTCTGCAAAACTTGAGATTGGAAAGTGTTAAAGTAAGGCCCCATTCAAAGTTTTGCATAGGATTCTAATCCAAGTCTCTTCCACGTGTTTTGTTTTGTTCATTTTTTATCTTCTTCTTTCTTTTGAGTTTAGCTTATCATGAAAGCAATATAACGGAGAACCTTCCCACTACGATGGCGTACAAGGTGGTGGGTGCAGGCATGAAGGGTCATTGTTTGTGGGTAGTGGGAAAATTAACTAAGAATATATGTCAACTTAAAATGATGTATTAAATGGTAAAAAATTTAAGATTTTATATATTTTAAATTTAAATTAATTTTAGAAGTAATGTAAGCAAGTGATTTTTTTATTGTATAATTTAACTATATGATGTGAAAAATATAGAAATTCATTTGATTTAAATAATTCGTTTCAATCCAGTGATATGAATTCTGAATTAAAATCATTTACTTTTTATAATTAACGTATTTGAATCCCATAAATCTCTTTTTTCTTTCCCTCACGAATCTCTTTTCTCCCTTTTCACTTAATACATGTAAATAATTTCAATTTGCCAAAAAAAAAAAAAAATCATTTGACCCATTTAAAGCATTTTCACAAAAGCTCAACACAAACAGCCCTTCTCCAAACCCAAACAGCCTAGCTTTTATTGATGGCTAGGAAAGGCAGTGCGTTTATATGCTAAGGGAGTTTATGGGATTTGTCTTTGAGTCAATCACCTTTCTTTTGGACCTCAAGCATATATCCCTTAACCTTTGAAAAAGGATTCGCACCTTTGCTTTGGCCTTTGGGTTTGACAACTGACAAACTTTTGGTTTTTCCCTTGGCTAGATGTTGACTTGCGTGTCTCATCTTATTCTCTCTACGCATGAACATGAATAGTGCATTAATTCCATCTCAACACACAACATATCAACAAGGACAGGAAAACCCATATCTTCATTCATCACCTTGAACCTGAATACAAGGAGAGGTACATAGATAGATAGATACCGTGCTAGCTAGCTTTTTTGACACAAACAGAAAAGAGCTGCTACTAAAGAATGAAACAGGGTAATGAACATAAACACTTTCTTAAATTGAAGAAGCTAATGATTTGTAAACGTACCTAAAATTCCCACTTTCTTTATTTATTTATGAATCCCTGTACATAATAAAACCTTCTGCCCACTGCAAAATACTACCCTAGAAAGGCAAATCCTACTTTGGTCAATCAATTAGTTGGCCCTTTCAACGTGACGTATGAAGACAGTTTCCAAATCGGGCGGCGTAAAGAACTCCCTCACACCGCCGTAGCTACACTTCAACGCAGCCTTCCGCTTCCTCGGAGGTGGAGGGCACGGTAAGACCGTCGGAATTCTGGCGCCTTCTCCTGTCGGTGTGGTCGAACAGTCGTCGTCATCATCATCACCTCGGCTAATTCCCTTATCTTTCTCCACCGGATTGGTGTATATCTGCTTCAACGGAACCCGTAAAGGAATTCCTGCAATAACCCACTTCCTCCCGTCCGACTCCGACCCAACATCCACCTGCGGCTTCCCTGACACCCCCATGATCTCGGATCAAATCAAATCCAAAACA